AATAGATGTTAGCTCAGGGCCGGTCTTCCTCAGCAAAAAGAGGAGGATTGGCATGGATGTTAGCTCAGGGCTGATCTTCCTCACAAAAAAAAAAAAAAAGAAAAAGAAAAAAAAAATAAGCCCAATTCCTGTGTTGTTTTTCAGAGTTACTCATCACTGGCTTATTTGGAAAATGTATCACTGTCAGCCTTAGCTTCCTGGAGGCCTGTGGGTTGGGAGAGGCAGCCTCTTGAGAACCCTAATTTCAGGACTTTTAGAATAAAATCTTAAAATTGTCCCTTTGAGTCACTTAATTATAAATAATAATGCAGCATTCTTGAATTAATGCACCTTTTACAGTAGAAATGATTTGAGTGTATGGGAAATAACTTTAAAACTTGAATCTTCATTTAACTTCAGACTTCTTTCCACAGGCCATTTTGCAACCTGTGTTGGCAGCAGAAGATTTTACTATCTTTAAAACAATGATGGTCCAGAAAAACATTGAAATGCAGCTGCAAGCCATTCGAATAATTCAAGAGAGAAATGGTAAAATGTTGAATTTAGAAATCTAAGTGCTAAATGCATTTTTTTAGCAGTTTTGACTATTCTGATTCTAATATGGACTGAAATGTAGCTGCCTTGTATAAATTTATTTCAGGGTTGAAAGTCTGTGGCTGACTCAGCAGATTCAAGAGTGTAAACTACCTGATTAGGATGTGTTTGAGATCTCAAAGAAAGCAGGCCAGAATTTATTTAATGATGTTTTAGGTTTCAGAGAGCTCAATTTTTTGCCCAGCCAGTGTATTTATGAAATTCAGGATTTTTGAGAGGTCACTGTTACAGTTACTGTTAATAGAAGATGACTGCTCTTTTCCTTCTAGCTTATTGTTGTCAGGACCTTTGTAAGAGACGGTGGTTCTCAAGCTTTAGTGAGCATTGGAAGCAGTTGGAGGGCTTGTTGAAACATATGGCTGTCTCCCAGTTTCTGATTCAGTAGGTCCAGGGTGGGGCCGAATACTTTGCATTTTTAATGAGTACCCAGGTGTTGCTAAAGCTGCTGGTCCTGAGACTGCACTGAGGACTGCTCTTCCAGCCAGTGAGGGATATGATTGCACCACCATCGGGTGGAAAAGAAAACAGACCTCAAAGCCCTGGTCACCCTCTTGCACTTTATCTTTCCCCTGCCGCTGCCTGATCTCAGTTTCTGTTAGCTCTTACTGCTTTTGTTCCCTTCTTGTGTACTTGAACTACATTTGACATCTTGACTCAAAACATCTGAGTTTCTTTTTTTTAGTTGAAGTATTATTGACTTACAACATTATGTTAGTTTCAAGTTTACAACATAGTGATTTGATATTTATAAACATTATGAAATGATCATCATGATAAGTCTAGTTATCATCTGTCCCCCTATAAAGTTGTTACAATATTATTGACTGTATTCCCTATGCTGTATATTATATCCCCATGGCTTATTTTTTTATAACTGGAAGTTTGTACCTCCTAATCCCCTTCACCTATTTTGCACCCCTGCCCCCACTGTGCTCCCCTCTGGCAACCGCTAGTTTGTTCTCTGTATGTATGAGTCTGTTATTGTTTTGTTTTGTTTGTCCCTTTGTTTTATTTTTTAGATTCCACATATAAGTGAAATCATACAGTATTTGTCTTTCTCTGTCTGAATTATTTCACTTAGCGTTATACGCTTTATAGGTCTATTCATGTTGTCACCAATGGCAAGATTTAATTCTTTTTTATGGCTGGATAATATTCCATTGTGTGTATATAGATAGATAGATAGATAGATAGATAGATAGATAGATGGATGGATACCACATCTTCTTTATCCATTCATCTGTCTGTGGACACTTAGGTTGCTTCCATATCTTGGCTGTTGTAAATAATGCTGCAGTGAACATAGGGTGCATATGTCTTTTTGAATTAGTGTTTTTGTTTTCTTCCAATAAATACCCAGAAGTAGAATTACTGGGTTATATGGTAATTATATTTGTAAATTTTGGGGGAACCTTCATACTGTTTTCCATACTGGCTGCACCAGTTTACATTCCCACCAACAGTGCATGAGAGTTCCCTCTTCTCCACATCCTCACCAATAATTGTTATTTTTTGTCTTTTTGATAATAACCATTCTGACAGGCATGAGGTGATATTTCATTGTGGTTTTAATTTGCATTTTCCTGATGATTAGTGATGTTGAGCATCTTTTCATGTGCCTGTTGACAGTGTGTGTGTCTTCTTTGGAAAAATATCTCTTGAGGTCCTCTGCCCATTTTTTAATTGGATTATTTGTTTTTTTGATATTAAGTTGTATGATCCTTTATATATTTTGGATATTAACTCCTTATCAGATATGTGATTTGCAAATATCTTCTCCCATTCAGTAGGTGGCCTTTTCGTTTTGTTGATGGTTTTCTTTGCTGTGCAAAAGCTTTTTAGTTTGATATAGTCCCATTTACTTATTTTTGCTTTTTTTTGGCCTTGCCTGAGGGGACATACCTGAAAAAATATCACTAAGACTGGTGTCAAAGAGCTGACTACCTATGCTTTCTTCACAAACTTCTAGTAGTTCTATGGTTTCAGATCTTACATTCAAATCTTTAATCCATTTTGAGTTTATTTTTGTATATGGTGTAAGATAGTGGTCCAATTTCATTCTTTTGCATGTAGCTGTCCAGTTCTCCCAAAACCATTTATTGAAGAGTCTGTGTTCTCCCCATTGCATATTCTTGCCTCCTTTGTTGAAGATTAATTGACCATATATACATGGGTTTATTTCTGGGCTCCCTGTTCTGTTCCTTTGATCTATGTGTCTGTTTTTTCGCCAGTACTATAGTGTTTTGATTACTATAGCTTTGTAGTATAGTTTGAAATCAGGGAGTGTGATACCTCCAGCTTTGTTCTTCTCTCTCAAGATTGCTTTGGCTATTTGGGGTCTCTTGCGGTTCCATATAAATTTTAGGATTATTTCTTCTAGTTCTGTGAAAAATGCCATTGGTATTTTGATAGAGATTACATTGGGTAGTATGGACATGTTAACAATATTACTTCTTTCAGTCCCTGAGCACAGTTTATCTTTCCATTTGTTTGTGTTGTCATTACTTTCTTTCATCAATGTCTTATAGTTTTCAGAGTACAGGTCTTTCACCTCCTTGGTTAAATTTATTCTTAGGTATTTTATTCTTTCTGATGCAATTGTAAATGGGATTATTTTCTTAATTTCTCTTTCTGATCATTTGGTACTAGTGTATAGAAATGCAACAGATTTCTGTATATTAATTTTGTATCCTGCAACTTTACTGAATTCATTTATTGTAATAGTTTTTTGGTGGAGTCTTTAGGGTTTTCTATGTATAGTATCGTGTCATCTGCAAATAATGATAGTTTTACTTCTTCCTTTCCAATTTGGATGCCTTTTATTTCATTTTCTTGCCTAATTGCTGTGGCTAGGACTTCTAATACTATGTTGAATAAAAGTGGTGAGAGTGGGCATCCTTGTCATGTTCCTGGTCCTAGAGGAAAGGCCTTCAGCTTTTCACCATTGAGTGTGATGTTAGCTATGGGTTTGTCATATATGGCCTTTATTATGTTGAGGTTTGTTCCCTCTATACCCACTTTGTTGAGAGTTTTTATCATAAATTTATGTTGAATTTTATCAAATGCTTTTTCTGCGTCTTTTGAGATGATCATATGATTTTTATCCTTTGTTTTGTTAATGTTGTGTATCATGTTGATTAATTTGTGGATGTTGGACCATCCTTGCATCCCTGGGATAAATCCCTCTTGATTATGGTGGGATCCTTTTAATGTATTGTCAAATTTGGTTTGCTAATATTTTGTTGAAGATTTTTATGTCTATGTTCATCAGGGATACTGGCTTGTAACTTTCTTTTTTTGTAGTGTGTTTGTCTGGCTTCTATTGTTGCAAGGCAAGCATTAGAATGTTGCAGGGGGGCCGACCCCGTGGCGTAGCAGTTAAGTGCACGCACTCCGCTGCTGGGGGCCTGGGTTTGGATCCTGGGTGTGCACCAACGCACCACTTATCAGGCCATGCTGTGGCAGTGTGCCACATAAAGTGGAGGAAGATGGGCACAGATATTAGCTCAGGGCCAGTCTTTCTGCGCAAAAAGAGGGGGATTGGCATGGATGTCAGCTAAGGGCTGATCTTCCTCACAAAAAAAAAAAAAATGTTGCAGGGCCCTTGTTGTGGATTCTTCTCTCATTTGAGTGATGTGAGTGGAGACTCTATCCCTTAGAGCCAGTTACCTCCATAACTATACCCTAAAATCCAAAGATGCTTTTCATAGCAAGTAAGAGAGCTGTTGTCTAGCCTAACCTTGAACGATGCATGACACTGTGCCGTTGCTTTGGTATACGTAAGTTTGGAAAACATCTCTTTCTTTTTGTCTTTCTACCATGGTTTGCTTTGTAAAATCCTTTTCTCTGAATTTTCCTGAAACTATACTTTATTCTGACCTATGGGCTAGAGAATTTGAATAATTATTTTATGTTAATTAAATAATTTGGGGGGAATTGGTTTTCATAAAAGAAATAGTGAACTTGATATTGGTACTCCGTAGTTTTCAGTGTGGAAATTAACTGGAAACTCATTTAGATTTTAATTAAAGAGGAACAAGTACATATAGCTTGTATCAGCTGGATGCCTCAGGCCGCCATTAGCAGAAATTAAGTGAAATGGCCTAAGTGAAAATGGCCTAAGTAATAAGCAATTATCATCTCACAGAACAAGAAGTCCAGGGGAAGGTGGGGAAGGAATATAGGTCCGGGGTTGATGAATTTAGTGGCTCAGTGATGTTTTCAAGGACGCTTACACTTTCCATCTTTTTTTTTTTTTTTGGTGAAGAAGATTAGCTCTGACCTAACCTCTGTACCAGTCTTCCTCTTTGTATATGGGATGCTGCCACAGCATGGCTTGATGAGTGGTGGGTAGGTCCGCACCTGGGATCTGAAACCCCAGGCTGCCAAAGTGGAGTGCATGAACTTAACCAGTATGCCACCAGGCCAGCCCCTGACAATTTCTATCTTTATTCTCTGCCATTTTCAGGATCTTCTCTCATGATTGCGCTCTGGCTGCATCAAATGCAGACTCAACATTGTCTCATGAGGAAAAGGAATGTTTCTTCATGTACATCTCTTTTTGTTAGCAGGACAACACTGTCATGGAAGGGGGGAGTTTTCCTCTCAGGTCCTCTTAGCCAGGATTAGGGTCACATGCCTTTCTTAAACCCTTTGGCAGGGGAATGAGACCATTATGGTTGGCTTAAAACCAGTCATGAGTCACTCTTGTGGGGTCAGGTAGGGCCCTGCCTCTAAGTACTTGGCTGCCTGATAACTGCACAAACCTGTCTTGTATTAGCAAATGAAGACGAGGGGAATGATGTGGAATAATGCTGCTGTCAAACCACAGGGTGGGACAGTTTGCTTACATTTAAACATAAACTTAGTTTCTGCCATGGAATTTTTAATACTTGTGTTTAAGAATATTGCTTACCTTAGAGCCTGGGGTAAGTACCTTAGAGCCATGTTGATTGTACTCAAAAGCACAGACCATTTGAAAATTGTCTTTGTGGTGACAAAAATTCAAAGGCTCTCTGGATTCTTGGTTGTATCTTATCAAATAATTTGGGGTAAATGCAAATCAGCACATTATTTTGATGATTTTGAAGTATTGTATACTGTTGCATTATTCTTTCCTTAGTTCTTTTAATTTTCCTTAGAAAGATTATGAGAATAGTAATTATATATCTTTTGACTGAGCAAAAATGCACTTAAGATTGATGGGTTGTATTAGTTGTCAATTTTCTGGTTGTGATACTGTATTGTAGTTTTGTAAGATGTTACCATTGGGGGAAACTGGGTAAAGGGTGCATAGTTATCTCTCTGTATTATTTCTTACAACCGCTTGTGAATCTGCAGTTATCTCAAAATAAAAAGTTTAATTAAAAAAATGCATTTAAACATCAAGGAGATTAGAATAATAAAGCTACTTTAATTTAGAGCAGATCCAAAATTCCATAATCATATGTGGATAAAGAAATTGAAGGTAAAAATTAAGAGACATGCTAATGTTGTGGGAATATAATAATTGTAGAAATGAACAGAACACTTATTACCAGTCTACTTGCTTATTTGGAAGATATGGGTAATAAAGTAAATTAAACCAATACTTAAAATTACCTTCCATGAATTATTATTTGCCTTGGGCCAAAGTTGGTACTGCCCTGGTTTATAGTTATTAGCCCAATATCTGAATAAAAGCTCCAAGGACAGAGAATGTTTTATTCATCTTTATGATCCCCTTAAGTGCTTAGCATCATGCTTTTTTGCATGTAGTAAGCAGGACCCTTTTTAGTAGCATTTGTTGTAGTATGAATGAAGAGTATTAACATGCTGTTTCAATTAATGAAGTATTTTTCATTTTGTTTTGTGAACTCTTTTCCCATTTAAGGGATACTTTTGAGAGCGTGGGTTTATTATTAGAAGCTTAATGATTTCAGTGGTATATCCTCAGACAGTATATGATTATGGAAGATAATGGCTTATATTAATTAATTTTTATTGCCATTTATTATTGTTATTTTTAATAGGCAATACAAATAATTACTAAGAGATGTTTCAAGGTAAAATTGTGGGTTTTTTTTTTTTTTTGGTGGGGCTGATTCCCTAAAACAAGAAAGTATTAAAAAGACCATAGTTAAGAAGATAATAGCTTAGAACATTTTTTAAAGTGATAGATCCTAGTAAACTAATTTGTATTTCTTGATGAACTAGAATAGTGAGAAATAAATGTTTTCAATTGAGTTGTTATTATTCCATGTGGTCTTTGGTTTTGAACAGGTGTATTACCTGACTGCTTAACGGGTGGTTCTGATGTGGTCAGTGACCTTGAACAGGAAGAGATGAAAATCCTGAGGGAAGTTCTTAGGTATCCTTCTTTAATTATTTTTTGAATGAATCATCAGTAATGTTGTAATATGGTCTGTATACATGCTTTTTACCCAAAATATTATGAACTAGTAAAACATCTAAATTCTCTAGTGAAGACCTTGAAAATGGTTTATCATTTTATTTGGTTATAACTATGTATATGTTACATTTTTTAATGGCCAGAAAAAGTTATTTTCAGATGTCTCATACCAGATCAGCCCAAATAGGAAGATCTTCTTCCACTCCCATCATGGAAATAGGAAATTAGCCACCAATGGGAACAAGATGCAGTAGACTCAGCCTGATGCCTGGAAAGGGGTCTAGTGGCCTGAGCTGAGCAGGAAGCTCCATGGTATCTGGATCTCGGTACTAGAGGTGGCTCACGCCAGGTGTCTCATAGTAGGAGGCTGGACATCCAGACTCCATAGACTGAATAGTGACAGGGTAACCTGCAAGGGAGGTGGCCATCCCAGATGACTGTCTTGCCAGTCTCTTCTTTGCCTTAGTCACGTGATTCTCAGCCAAATGCCTGGCATGGAGTGTACAGCCCATTAAAGGGTTATTTCTTTTTGCCTTGGGCCTATTGTCCCCTGACCCCTATGGGAGTTTTGGAAGGGAGGGGCAATTGCAGGACCTAATTTTTAAAGCTCCTGTGAGAATGCATGGGTTTAGGGCAAAAGGTTACCTGCAGCCACTTTGTCACCTGCGGAATGGAGCCTTGGCTTTTGAGGGCTGTAACCACACACATGGCCATCTTCTAGCATCCTGTAGTCCCCTCACCTACCTACCTTGTCCCCAACTCCATAGCAGAAAGGAGGGTAGGCAGGATGGTGGTTAGGAGGATGGGCCTAGTAGGGAATATGGAAGGAGCTCCAGAACTTAGTGCTTAATTTCAGGGGATTGGAGTGATTGTGGGGAGGGAGGCAGGTGTGTGGGTGAACCCAGACCTTTCCTGCCAGATCCTACTTTCCACAGCAGGGGCAAATGGGAGCCTGAGACAACACAGAATGCTTTGAGTTTACAGGTTTGAAGAGGTAAGGATATTTGGTAATAGGTTTAGAGAACTGGTAAAGTTTTGACTTGTACTGGTTGCTTCTGATCAGCATTGTACTTTTAGATTTTATTTTCTAAGGGCTTTTTTTGTGTGGAGGGGATACTACTGTATAAGTAGTAGAGGTTAGTTATGAACATGTACAAGAGTTTCCTTGGCTATTTTCCTAAATCAGACTGCCTCAGTGAGTGGTTTACAAAAGCTGGTAAGGCTTTGGCATAGTGGCATCAGGAGAGCTTTGTGATAGCTCAGATGCCGCTGGAAAAACTAGAATGAGGGGAGAAATGAATCCTATCAGAAGGGGTATAACTGATCTCTCTAAAGAGAGAGATGAAAGTCTGTGTTAATGGGATTTGCCATGCATATTTGGGTTTAGGATTTCAAACCTGTTGGTCTTTGTTCAGGCAGGTCTTTGTTCACATTTCCAGAAGTGGGTAAACCTGTATTTCATGTTACTAACTGTATTATGCTGTGTATGCCTATGTATGTCTTTCTCAGTTGATCGTAAGCTGCTTTAAGCAAAGCCTGATTATTTCCATCTTTGTTTCCAAAATTTCTCCACATATTGTAAACTTAGGTCAGCATGTTGCTTATTGAGTATTTGTTCTTTGACCAAAAAGGAAAATTTACTTTTCTACCTTATTTTGTATATTTCAGAAAATCAAAAGAGGAATATGACCAGGAGGAAGAAAGGAAGAGAAAAAAGCAGGTGCCTACAGAACATATAAATGTAACAGAAGTATTTCATTGCCATTATCTCTAAAGTTTACACCTAGTTTTTCCGTAGGAGTTTAAGCTTATGTGGAACTACACAGTTCCTCAGAGTATTCATATTTTCTTGACAATTCTAAGCATCTATATTTAACTGTACAATTCATCCAACAGCCTAGCTTTTAAATTCCCAGTAAAGACTGGGACGATGAACTCCAAAAAAAGTAATACCATTCATGTTTTGGGGGATCCTTATTAAAAAAATCCCTCTTAATTTTATGCATAAAAGAAGATTAAGAAAAATATTTTACTGTCCCACTCTCCTTGATTCCTTTACTATTTTGAAGCAGCAACTGCGGTTACTACTGAAGGTTCCCTGCAGGCTTTACCATGATCAGCTTGAAGCAGGATGATTCTGTATCACATGTCCTGGCATAGTGTTCTTCCATTAAGAACTATTTCCATAAAATGCCTAATCTTTCTTAAGGATAAATTAAACATCTATCTGGCTGAGGGGAAGGAAGCTAATATTTATTCTTTCCTCTCCCCTTTTCTAGCTGCCTGTCTTTCCAGATTTTACATCTCCCTGAAAGGCAAGGGAAATCTAATATACAGTCTCTTTCAGTCACTTGAAAGGCATTTTCCTTTTTTCTCTTCAATCACTATAATACATGCTTATATCATTCACTGTCTTTGGAAAACCTATTTTACTTCAAGGTACCTAATTAAGAGGAGAAGAAAGAGATGTTTTAGGATTAAGACGTGATTTATGTATCTTTGAGTAAATCTCCTTTTGGTCAATGGAGGTGAAATTCATAGATATTAATAAATATTTTTTAATGTAAAGGTATAGAACAGACACCAGTCCAAAACTGCTATCAGAAGACAGTATTAACTCTCTGATTTATAAGCAAACTATTTTAGGCTTCTTGAATAATATGTTTTAGGGGGGTATAGTTTTCTTAGACTTTGTATTATGGAATTTTTTTTTTTTTGCTGAGGAAGATTGGCCCTGCGCGAACATCCATGCCCATCTTCCTCTACTTTATATGGGACGCCGCCACAGCATGGCTTGACAAGTGGTGCGTCGGTGCACACTCAGGATCCGAACCTGTGAACCCTGGGCCGCTGAAGCGAAGTGCGTGCAGTTAACTGCTTGCGCCACCGGGCCGGCCAATGGAAATTTTCAAACACACAAAAGGAGAGCTGATAATAATAATAATGAATCTTCATATATCCATCACCCAGGATATTTAGGGACTTATGATTTAGATATCCATGAATTACCTAATAAGCTACATGTGATTGGATTTTCCTCTGTTTTTAAGGAAAAATGAATTATCAGTTTGTTTAGTTCTTTCCAAGATTTAAATGATTTCTTTGGTTTAAATATACTATCCCATTTTAGAAATGGAAATAAACCAATCTGTGGCTTCTTCAGGCATATCATAGTAGAGGTATATTGATTATTTTAAATGGAAAAGTACCTTATAGTTCAGTGATTTTGTTTCTCTTAGAGTATTTCTCAGTGCCTTGCTCAAGGTCATGTGACTAGTAAGGGTGAAGCTTGGGTTTGAACCTACTTCTTGCTAAGTCCAAAGTCCTAACCACACTAGCTAGTTACTCTTAGCACTGCATGATTTGAAATGAGAATGTTTACCTACCTCAAAAAGCAGAAGATATAAAGTATTGGAAATATCTTAAAAACTTCGGAAATAGTCTTTTGTTCATTATCTATTTAGTAGACAGTAATTATTTTTTAAACTAATGTCTTTGGATCCCTTAGGAAATGAATTAGTCAAAATTAATCTGTTTTTTTTTTAATTGTATTATGGATTCCTGAAGTTATCAGAGACTAAAACAGAAGAGCCCCCAATGCATGCTAATGAAACTGCAAAAATGAATAATTCCCAAGGGGATGGCGAACATTTTGGACACCCACCCTCGGGTAAGGTTGAAGTTTACCGAACTTTCTCTACTAGTATGAATATATCAACATTGTAAAGAGTGTGTTACTTTCTCATACATACTTAAGCTTCAGAAACCCTGGGAGGAAGTTGTTGAATGGTTATTGGTATTTCAAGTTTCTTGTGAATTTAGCTACAGAGGTTGCAGGTGGGAAATACCCAGCTGACAGGGAAGGTGTAGTCCCCAAATTTCTAAGTGAAGCCTGGAACCCAGAGCAGTGAGCAAAATTCCTTGAGGGAGTCACCAGCCTTTGTGCCATGGCTGCAGCATCTAAGATGTGTTCACATAACATTTGGTATTCTCTTCCTTGACCACAGTTATATGGTGTTTGTGAGTTAGAAGCTGAACTTGGAAAGATAATACTAAGTTATTTTCCTAATGACTTAAAGCACAACTAGAAAATAAGAGGTCACCAGTTTATCTAGATGTTTAGTCAGAAGCTATCGTTGAAACCAAAATTGATGAGAATCCTTGTGGGAAATGTTAGTGGATGAACTTGTTAAATATGTGGCAAATCCATTTTCAGTATCCTCTGAAAGAGAACCAGTAATTATGAAACTGAAACTGAATCATGATTAGGAGTTCAGTTCATTTTATCATGAATTTATATGGTTTTAAATAAGTGTCTTTTTCTCAATTAAAAAAAAAGCATAACTCTGTGAGGTAGATATTATGATCTTTATTTTTCTTATATGTTTTTTTTTTTTTAACAAGAAATTCAAGGGGGGCTGGCCTTGTGGTATACTGGTTAAGTTCAGTGCACTCCACTTCAGCGGCCCAAGTTCACAGGTGCGGATCTCGGGCGCAGACCTACACCACTTGTCAGCCATGCTGTGGTGGCAACCCACATACAAAATAGAGGAAGTTTGGCACAGATGTTAGCTCAGGGTGAATCTTCCTCAGCAAAAAAAAAATAAAAATAGGGGCCGGCCTGGTGGCGTAGCGGTTAAGTGTGCATGCTCTGCTTTGGCAGCCCCGGGGTTCGCAGGTTCCGATCCTGGGTACGCACCAATGCACCGCTTGTCAAGCCATGCTGTGGCGGCATCCCATATAAAGTAGAGGAAGATGGGCATGGATGTTAGCCCAGGGCTAATCTTCCTGAGCCAAAAGAGGAGGATTGATATCAGATATTAGCTCAGGTCTGGTCTTCCTCACAAAAAAAAATTAAAAAAAAAAAAAAAAATACTAGTTAAAAAAAAAGAAATTCAAGGAAGTTGAGTGACTTGTCCAAAATCACTGAGCTCTTAAATGGTGAAACTGTGACTTACCTTGGTCTTCTGACTCCAAATCTTTTCTTCTACACTTTAGAAGAACTTTTATAATTGAGATAAGATGGGTTTGATGTTTACCTGTTGATTTTAAGGAACTCTTCTTAGTTGATTAACAATGTGGCTATGAAACAGAAGCAGGTTTATGTATTTACCTTGCTTCTTTCTTCCTAGCAAATCTAGCCATTTCTTTTCTTTTTTCATATTCTGCAGATTCTGAGTAGAATAACCTCATTGGAATTATATCTATGAAAGCACCTGCTTTATATTTGTCTGAGCACTTTTTTAATTTGCTGGCCCTAATTTAACTTTGTATATACAGACCTAAGTACACATATACTGTTTAAATCTAGTGTCTGACATCATTTGAGTAAATTTGCTTCATCTAGTTCCTTATCTATTAAGTGAGCTATAGAAAACAATCTCAAACTATATATAACTCAATTATGCACATTAGTGGCACAGAACAAATGGCAGATAATTTCAAAAGTAATGATTTTAATTTTCAAAAACTATTCTATTTTTTAAAAAATGAATATATCTGATATTCCAGGAAATCACTTATGCAATGTGATGGAAGCCCATTACGAACACCTAATTTGGGAAGAATCATAAAGTTGTTCATCCTCCTGTTTATCCCTTTGCTCATGTCCTTTCTTTGATTCCTGCTAGAAATGGACACCATCTGTTCTCAGATTGATGCAAAGAGTTGCCAGAGATGAGGTGATCTTTCTTTAAGCTTGCTGTCTTTCTGATTTTCCATTCCTAGAAATCAGAGAAGCTAAGTATTTTGGCTTTAAATACTTTCCTCTCTAGATCTGAGTTAGAATATACAGGATGTTCATAACCAGCATACTCAATGCAAGAACTATCCAGAGCAAGTACATCGATTGAATGTAAATGCTTAAGTGTCTGGGATCCCCCCTCCTCAGAAATGAATTGAACTGTGCCTTCTCCTGCTCTGTGGTTCCATATTTGGGGGCTAAGCCTAGCTCTGCTTAAAGACACCATCAGTAAGGACGGCATGTTTAACTCTGTCTGCATATTATGACCAACTTGTTTAAGCTCATCTTTATTTCTGTTTAAGTTAGTTCTGTAGCTCCCTGTTGAGGTTCGTTGGAGTGTTAGCTCTAGGCTCATCTCTTCCATGGCAACTTCCCTTACTGCCCAAGAGCCTGAAGAGCTTTTCTTCTTCCAGCCTCCTGGCAGTACAGATAGTCCACTTACTCCATGCTAGAGCAGTGGTCCTTTGGCAAGTTTTTCGGTCATGCAAAGTTCTATTTCCAGTTTTACTATGCTGGCAAGATTTTTAATCATTTGGAGACATATATATCATGTTCTTCCATCATGCTTTCAGTTCTTGGCATCATTTTTATGTGAGTCTTTGCTTCTCTCACTCTGCTGTCCTTCATAGTCCATGTACTTAACACTGAAAATGTTTTATCTTAAAAAAAAAAAAAAAAAATCACCTGAACTAATAGTGAAAAATGGCTCAGAAAAGCAATTAGCATGTTAATCCCGTCTCTTGGTACAGTCACCAAATAACCGGAAAGTACTGAGTGCTCATGTTATATATGCTTCCAAGTTCTTCTTACTTTAAATCTTTACTTTTTTAAATGTGTTGGTACGTTTACAGTTATCTTCATTATGTATTATAGTGCTCGTTTCAACAGCACATATACTAAAATTGGAACAATACAGAGAAGATTAGCATGGCCCCTGCACAAGGATGACACGCAAATTTGTGAAGCATTCCTTATTTTATATGTTATAAACCAATGTTACTGCAATAAAAAAATATGTATTACAAAAATTATTGATATTACTGGCACTTATTCTTCCAATACAAAAAATTGTAGCTTTACATTAATTATTCTGAAAATATAGAGTCACTTAACAGTTTTTACCAGCAAGCAGAAGTTTCGAAATCAGTTACATTACTAGTGAGGGATTTTAGTATACTGTTTATTTGGCTTATGTAGCAACCTTGTAGTGTATTATAGTGTAGTTCTAATCTTTAGACAAGAATTATACCTTTTTTTAGCTATAGTACCAAATAGCAGGAGCTTGGTATTTGTTGAAATGTCATTATTCATAAGAAACTGTAGTTCAAGCTCCTTGAGGACCGAGACTATGTTGATTGTTCTCATCCAGTGCCTGGCACAATGTAGGCACTGAATCAATGTGTGTTGATTGAGTGAATGTGAAAAAAAACAAGTATTGTTAACATTAGCTCATTTTGGTGAACCTAGCCTAATACTTAATATTTCTTATAATAATCTAATTGGACTCTATCTAATTACTGCCAGAGGTTAAAGTGCATTTTGCTAATCAGTCAGTGCAACCTTTGGCAAGAAAGTTGGAAATGTTGCCTGAAACTTCCTCCCTCCCACAAAAAGGCCTGAAGATTCCTGGCTTAGAACATGCAAGCATTGAAGGACCAATAGCAGTAAGTAAAAAACATTACTTTCTAAGAACTATGAGCAAAATGACAAAGTACTAGGAACAAACAATGTAAACAGCCATACACTTGGCTTTTGTTATGATCTTGAACTCAAACTTCTAGTTGAATCAGTCGGTGGGTGTCTGTGCCACTTATTATACAGACTTGAATTTAAATAGTTCCTTCTCTTTTCTGACCCAGAATCTATCAACACTTGGAACAGAAGAGCTCCGGCAACGAGAACACTATCTCAAGCAGAAGAGAGATCAGTTGATGTCCATGAGAAGGGATATGAGGACTAAGCAGATACAAAATTCGGAGCAGAAAGGAAAGCCTGGAGAGGTAGAGGTAGGACTAGCCTCAGTATGTCAGTCTGCAAATCTAGAGGTTGTAGTCTCAAAATCATTATATGTGCAGGGCCGGCCCGGTGGCGCAAGTGGTTAAGTGCACGTGCTCCGCTGCGGCGACCCGGGGTTCACCGGTTCAGATCCCGGGCGCACACTGACGCACCACTGGGCAAGCCATGCTATGGCGGTATCCCATATAAAGTGGAGGAAGATGGGCACGGATGTTAGCCCAGGGCCAGTCTTCCTTGGCAAAAAAAGAGGAGGATTGGCAGATGTTAGCACAGGGCTGATCTTCCTCACAAAAAAAAGAAAAAAATTCGAGTATGTGCAAGAAAACCTCGATAATGAATATTGCTCATAGATCCATTCTTATTAACCTCCCTGCTAGTGTAGCACTTGGTAAGTCTTTTCTAGGCAGTGATATGAGGATTTTGTGAGATAGAATTGATAGCAGTTTCATTATACGTTTTTTTTCTGGTTTATTTGCCCTGCTCTGAGTGCTTAAGGATCAGCAGTCTACTTTACTTGAGCCTTTTGAAATATTTTATCAGAGAGCAGCATCAGTACCCTAGCCCCACCTCCAAGAGGCTTCCCCCAAGAGAGGTTTTTTACAAAGAAGAGATTTAGGGATCCCAGTCCACATGTGGCTTTTTTTTTTTTTTTAATTTACTGAAAATGCTCTAATCTTTGTTCCAGGAAGTATGTTGGGAATTTGAGATAAATGAGCCCATCTTATACTGTAGCCAATTTTTTTTCCTTTTTTTTTTAAAGGAAATCACAGAGAAACCAGAAATGACAGCAGAGGAGAAGCAAACATTACTAAAGAGGAGATTGCTTGCAGAGAAACTTAAAGAAGAAGTTATTAATAAGTAATTTTAAAAACAATTTAGCAAAACAGATGTTCAAATTTTCTTAAAAATAAATTATTTAATCCTTAAACTGAGCCTGTTTCAAATACTTAAGTTTGTAAATGCAAATACAAGCTCATTATTACTGTTTTATTCAACACTTGAGGTAAAGGGTGGTGGAGAAGGTAGCTACTTACGCTGACCAGTTTAATACAAATTTCTGAATGATGTCTCTTGGAGAGAAGGTTCAGAAAACTAACTGATAGTGCATTCATTCAAACTTGGTTACCTATCGTTTGTGCTAAACATTGTGCTGAGGTTACAGTAGTCAACTAGATTGACAGGGTCCCTGCCTTCGTGGGGCTAGTGAAAGGCCCAGAGAGCAAAGTGTTAGAAGGGAAAAGTGCAGTGTTATAAGCAGTGCTGGCCAAGCCTCCTTGAGAAAGCAGGAAGGCTAATTGCAGGGAGAAATGGGCAAGAACTACTCAGGTCCTGTAATAGGAAAGAATAAAGCACATACCGAGGAGCTGTCACTACTGCTAGTGTAGATATAGAGTGAGGGGAGAGGGTTAGCATATGAAATTGGATATAAATAGGTGGGGTACTGATTTGCAGGGCCTTGTAGGGAATGTGAGGATTTTAAATTTTATAATGGCAGTGGGAAGTCACTGAAGTTTTAAAACAGGCAAGTTACATATCAAAGTATTCATTTTAAAAAGATATGTGGCTGCTGTATGGAGACCTGGGTGAGTTATAGTAGTTGTGGGTATACCAGGTGTAAGGTAATCCACTGAAAAGAGTAGTTATCTTGGGCAGTGGTAAGATAGATTTTAGCATCTTACATTTGAGGCAGAAGCAAAGAGGACTTGGAAAATAGATGTGGGAGATGTCAAAAATACTCAATTAATTACTCTTTCTAGAAAAGCTACTATTACAACAAATAAAGGGAACAATTGACAGAGCCTGTTGAGAGGAGTGCTGCCTTGGGTGTAGGTCTTTGTATGTGAAGTGATCCTGGATGATCTTCTGTACAGTTGTCTGCTTCAAGATAACCGGAATAGTAGGGAAGAGACCTTTCTTTCAGAAACTTCCTGTGTTCTGTCATCCCACTAGCACCCCCTTTTCTAGTTACCGTCCACTCCTGAGGTTTAACTTATAATTCCATTTTATCTCAATTCTACAGTTATCAACTTTTTAAAAGGGATACCAAAATTAGTTTAGCTCCAACCTTCAAGCTGCAGAGAAAAACCAGTATTACTTTACATTTTCATCACTTAGATGGACAAGAGGAAAAACTAGTGATTAAAACACAGAAATCTGTTTCATGTAACTTTTTATTAAAAATAGTTTTTATATTGGATACATGTTTACAGATATAATTTTAAGAGAACCTCAGGCATAACAAATGTGGGCTCTGGCTTGCTTCACTGAGTGAAGATAAAAATATAAAAATCCTGATCTGCCTGAGGGTAGTCATTTAAGACAGCAGCTAACATGTAGCATCTTAATAATTATTCTTTCAAGGGCTATTTTAAGTCTTGTTGTCATATCATTGTGGGTGAGCGTATGTTCCATGAAAACTGTTACAATAATTCAACAAAACATTCACATTTCTGCTATAAGAAGAAGGTTCCTATGATGATTTAAAAGTTTAAGACATGTGGCAGTTCTTGAGAAAGGAAAATTAAACTCGTCATACGATATAAAGAAAGATAATACTTCCTCCTGGAACTTAAGCAGGAAGTCAAGAGTAAATACAGAACTGCTTGAGGCCTGGGCTGCTTAGATTATGAGAGGAAATTTAGTAAGAGCTAAGAAGAGTGATGGGGCTTGATGAAACTTGCTTGAAAGAAAATGTATTCATATGGTAACTTTTTACCAATCTTGGTTTAAAATATCCTGAGTCACTTGCCTTATGAGGGGGAAGGTCTTTTTCATTATATGTACCTTTAACAGAGAGGTGATAACAGCCCCATGCTGTGATGCTTTGGTCCTGGGACTTTATTTGCTCAAGGCACACCTTCTATAACTAGAGTCAGTGATATTTAAAGTGCAGTTGACCCCCATTTGTTTAGAATTCTTTCAGACTGGTGTATGACCTAGTGGTTTATAATAAATATCTATGGATAACTGGCTTTTAAAAGATATTGTAAAATGGACATATTTCAAAATGGAGTTAACACATTTACAATAAACCAAACAAAAGCAACAATCATAGAATTACAGGGTCACATTTTAATTCCTGAATTTTACAGTTCAGCATTAATATCACCACATGTATACAAATGGTGTAAAACAAGTACAGTGGTATTTTTAATACAAAATAAACATCTGTTTTATGGAAAAACTATACTTCATATCTACACAGACAGCCCATCTTTTCCAAACAATAGCCAAAATTAAAATTAACTATAAAATCTCCAAAACAGGGGAAACTGCTTCAGTTTAAGCTATTCCAGGAAAAATGGACCCATAACACATTACAAGGGTGATCTGAAGATTGTAGCTGGAATTACTATTTTTAGTTTTTTTCCCAATGCATTCAATTGTAATTTGGGGGATATTTTTCTCACTTCAGCATGATCTCAGATCATAGATGACCAAACTAACATTAAAATATTTACAGTTAACTTGCTGTTCTAAAAATAAAACGTCAACTGTTTGCCTCAATTTATTATTTTAAATTCATTTACGTACATGGAATGTGCTTTTACTCTTTAAAAAAAGCAGCTTTCATATTACACCCTTGTTTGTTTATGGAAAAGCTTCATGTGTTGCCTATTGACTTTGACAATGAAGTAACTTCTTGGATCAAAATGGCCTTTAGATATTAAATGCCACTTAATTCAGCACTATTCTTTTTAAGTTAGTCTTTATAAATTATTCTTTAAAACTTGCCTGCAGCTTTGGAGAGAGACAACTTTACCAACAAATCAGAAAGTGACTTCAAACTATCTTCCACAAAAGACTGTACTGGTAGGCAGCTGAAAACATTCTGTTCAATCCACTTGAGAAAATCATTTTGGAATACTACTTACTGATTCTTGGCATCTGTCATCTCTGAAAGTGCTGATTTTAAAGTTATATTAACAAAAGTGTCCATTTTGAATCCAGCTTGTTTGTTTTCATCAAAATACATACTGAAAATTCCTGGTGTAGAAAACTCAATATGTGCTGTAATACAGGGTGTACTTCCCTCCAGCTCCCTATAAGGCTGAATTTCTGTTGAATCTTCAAAGACATGGTCCCAACAGTTTCATTTTTTATGACAGTTGAATTTGTTTTCCATAAAAATTTCTTTTAAAAAGAGGCAACTGATTAAAAGAACAACATGGTGAGCACCATTATACAAGTAATGTTACTGGGTTTGCAACTGAAGTTTTATAATTGTTTCTAGGTCGGATACACCCTGGAGCAACCCTGCATTAATATTTTATCAACCTTGTCCCTCCCCCAAACCGTCCCAAAACCTGAGAGTGTCCTTGGTGAGAAGCTATCTCCCAGGTTCTGGTTACTAACCTTTTTTTGAAGCCTGAAAGGCAAAACCCTTAATTACTAGCAAGCGATCAAATTCTTGGGAAGCCTGGTTTTTACAGAACTAAACTTTCCTAGCTGATATGCTGAGTGTCTTTTGCTACTCCTTGTATATTTATAAGTTCAAGTGAGAAAGCTTTCTGATTCAGATTTTCAGCTCATTGAACAGTTGCAGCATTTTAGTAAGACCACATGTTGAGGGTCCCCAGTAAATATTTTATGAGCCAAGACGAGGTCTTTTCCTGGGAGATGTGTCTTCTTCTTCATCATCATCTTCATCATCTGGGTAATCCACTAAACCAACCAAACTTCCCTATTGAAGAATAAAAAAAAATTATTATTTTTTAACATATGTAACTTTAAAATAAGAAGCTTTTCAGTACAGTCACTTTTAAAGATAAAGAAATCATTTTTCCAAACTATCTAACCAGATATATTTGAATATGATAAAGGAACTGCCTGAAATTCTCAACACTTAGTTACTCTCAACTTCCCTATTTAGCTTTCGGATTTTTAATGATACTTCACAATTCAATTCAGCAAAATTTCACTGTGGAAAAATAACTATATTCCCAAACAGCAGGACTTATAAAGAATCATGACATTTGGAGGTGGAAGGACTTTGGAGATCAACTAGTTCATTTCTCTAATTTTAAACTAGAAAGAAGAGCCAGTCAGTGACAAGAAGTCTCCTTTTAGTCTCTGTTCCTCATGTATGTATTTCATCACTAAGTGGTATACATCATTGTTTTTGTTCTGCTTTTGAAGAACAGTTTAAAATGCCTGATGACAGGGGCTGGCCTGGGTGGCATAGTGGTTAAGTTTGGCGTGCTCTGCTTTGGTGGCCTGGGTTCATGTGTTTGGATCCCGGGCGCAGACCTATACCACTCATCAAGCCATGCTGTGGCAGCGACCCACATACAAAATAGAGGAAGACTGGCACAGATATTAGCTCTGGGCCAATCTTCCTCACCAAAAAAAAAAAAAAAAAGAAAAGGCTGAAGAGAATAAACACATGAAATGGTTCCTAAAAACTAATGACTGAAAAATTTAGAGCTAGCTCTCTAACCAAAAGAAAAGTAAGGATGAGGTAATTCAGATGTTTGGTCTTTTATGGGTAATGGATCCCTTTGAAAATTCTATTTAAGTTCTGGACACTCTACCAAGAAACTTACATGTCGTCAGGTTTGCATTGATTTTGAACCAATCCCATGAAATTTATACACATGTCCTACAGGTTAAGAGGGCCACTGTAAACACTGTCTTTAGTTCAAACCCTTCAGACCTCTAGGGGATAAACAAATACAATTGAAATAACCTATGTATTTCAAACCTATGTAGCTTCATACCTAAAGAATCCAGGCATCTGGCATTAACACTTTACCAGACTATAACTGAAACACTGTAATATTAATCATCAAAGGCCTCTGAGCAGCTAGAAACAGTTATCAGAAAGTCTGTGAACTAAATAAAACTTATATACTTAGGTGAGAATCCTGCTTCTTTCTCAGCTTAATAACACACAAGTCTTAAGTTTGGTAAGGAAGAGGCAGTATGGCTCAATTGTTAAGAATATGTTGATTGTAGTCTGACTGCCTGACTTCAAATTCCAATGCCACCACTTTTTAGGTGCATGACCTTGGGCAAGTGATTTATCTCTATGCCTCAGTTTCTTTATGTGTAAAATTGATATAATAGTAGTACTTAGATCTCATTGAACTATTTTGAATATTAAATTGAAAACAAAACATGTAAAGCACTTGACACAGTGTTTGGCATATAGTGTTCAATAATTGCTATTAGCTGCTATTAGTAATATCATTATTATTGGTTATTTGGTTTCTAAGCCAAACAAGTTGGACGAGAGGAGATAGAAGACATAATTACAGTATAAAAAGGCACCAGTCTGACATTCACAAAGATGACAGCAAGTTATCGAGGCAAGTTTTAATTAAGCTTAGGATTATATATCATAATGTACAAACATTTCAGTTCCAAATGATTAACATTTAAAGTGATTTTTTCCTTAAGATTAACAAACATTGTATCTGAAACACTCAGCTACACAATTTAATTTTTAATTTTATCTCTATTATCTCATATATATACCATAAACAAACTCATATACATTAAAAAAATCATGTTTACTGTAAAAGGAATAAAAATACAAAATGTGAAATACTGGAAGTAACTTGTAATCCAGAGATGCACCCTGTGAAGAATTTGATAGATTTCAGACTTTTAATATACAACTATGTATCGCTTTTAAACAAATATCAGATTGCAATTACATCTACCGTTGTACAATTATGTTCACTTAAAAATACACTGCAGAAAGCTTCTGATGTTAGTCCACAAAGTTCTATTTCATTCTTTTAACCTCTAGTATTCCATAGTATTAATATATACCATCATATAGTTAAATTCCCTGTTGGACATTTAGATTGCTTTCCCAGGGTATTATATTCTCTAAAAAATTTTGTTTCTGATAGCTTTTCTTGTCTACTAATGAAATTGACTGTGAACCATCTTTGTACATGGAATATCATATGGATAAGACATGTTAACTTGTTAAGGATTTTTGTATCTATATTTACAAGTTCAATTCATCTACTTTTTTTTTTTTTAGTGCTACTTTTTAAAAAGTATTACATTTGTATAATTAAAGGAGAGTTCAAGCTAAGCTGCTGGAAGACTGATAAATGCATTTATTTCTACTGTCTCCTGAAACCTCACTAAAATCACAGTAAAGGAATTAAAGAAGGTATATATCAACAAAGACAAAACAGGAAAGGAGAGAACAGCAGACGAAAGCTGTCGAGGAGGCGGAGTCAAGATGGCGGCGTAAGCAGACTCTGAACTCACCTCCTCCCGTGGACACAGCCAATTTACAACTACTCGTGGAAAAATTACCCCTGAGACAGAACTGAAAACTGGAT